GGTGTTGTGTGTTGTGTGTTATTTCTCCTGGTGTTGTGTGTTGTGTTGTTTCTCCGGGTGTTGTGTGTTGTGTGTTATTTCTCCTGGTGTTGTGTGTTGTGTTGTTTCTCCGGGTGTTGTGTGTTGTGTGTTATTTCTCCTGGTGTTGTGTGTTGTGTTTTGTGTGGACTAACAGCCTGCAATGGATGCCTCGTGCTTGTTCCAGGGATGACGACGAGGAGCATAAGCTGATAGCCCAGGCTTCTAATACCTTGTCCACATCGAGGTATTTATACTCTCCCTCACTCACAAACCTCAAGAAGTGGGTTGTTGGCGGGTGCTTTGGAGTGGTTTGCTCCTTCTTTCCTATCAAACATCTTTCATCCTTGTCTCCTGTCCTTCTTTTTTGTCTTTGTTACTCTCTTGTAACAACATCTAATCTTCGGCACTTATATAACTTTATTGTATTGCAAATGCTGTAAAACACTCTTACTAAAACTAAAAAAATACTCTCCTCATTCCCACCTGCTTCTCCTTCCCTCACAAACCTCAAGATAAAACTCTGGGGATCGTTGCCAACGTCAAGATTGAACAATAGATCACCAACTCCTCGGTGTATTGTCTCAGAAAAAAAAAAAAATGTCTATCAGAGTTTGACAAACTTGAATGTTTTCTTTTAGGCTGTCTGTTTGTGGATATCAGAACGGTTTTTGTAAGGTGGTCTGTTTGTTGATATCAGAACGGTTTTTGTAAGGTGGTCTGTTTGTTGATATCAGAACGGTTTTTGTAAGGTGGCAAGACAAGGAGGGGCCGAGCTGTAATTTCCATTTATTTGTTCCAGGCGGGAAATTTCATGGGTGGTTGGCAGGTGTTGTGGTGTGGTTTGTGCCCCCTTTCCTATCAAACATCTGTCCTTACAATGTTACTCTTTATAAACACCAGAGACTTTTACAGTATTCTTTTACAGTATTACCAGTTACTATAAACTCTCAGGTAACATCTGTAATCTTCAGCACTTTTTGACTCAATTTTGTTGAAAAAGTGCTGTAAAAGACTTACTAAAAGAAGAAGTTCTTTGTGTACTGTTGCAAACTATCTGGTTTGACAGACATTAACTCTGCACTTGTCTAAAAACGTTCTGTTTTGGTAGCTGTTGTTGGTTTTTTTAATGTTTTTTTTTAGTTATGTTGTTGTTTGGGGTTTGTTTTTGTTGTTGTTGTTTTTAGGGGGGGGGGGTGTTTACTCCATCCATTGAAAAAGTGGAGATTTTGTTTTGCTTGTTCCTGAATAATGGGAAGATTTCGTGCTGCTCTTTGAGGATTTAACAAATGCTACTCTTTGAGGATTTAACAAAGTCTTTGTGACGTCACCTGCTTTTTTTCTCCTCTGGATTCTGCTTGGATGTATATACGTGCTGTCATGAAATGTTTCTGAGTTTATTGTCTGTTTCTCATTGTTGTTGGGCGTTGTAAAAGTATACATTACTGTATGAATGTAAAAGTATACATTACTGTTTGAATGTAAAAGTATACATTACTGTATGTTTGTAAAAGTATACATTACTGTATGAATGTAAAAGTATACATTACTGTATGTTTGTAAACGTATACATTACTGTATGAATGTAAAAGTATACATAACTGTATGAATGTAAAAGTATACATAACTGTTTGAATGTAAAAGTATACATTAGTGTATGTATATATTTGTGTCTTCATGCACTTGTGTGTTATCGTCTGCTTCTGTGTCTGCCATTTTGTTTGCAGCAGATTGAATGTTGAAACTCACTAATTTTGTTACAGACCAGAGGAGGAACATAGGCTTATCTCTGAGAAGACAAAAGCTTTAAGCAATCAAAGGTACTTGAAATGATTTCATTCCAGATTTCTTTCTTATCACAAAACCCGCTTATTCGGTGGGGGTTTTGTAGTCATTCGCTGATTCCAAATGTGAAACAACAACACTTTTGTCAAATATCAAGAGAGGCTCGGTAAAATTGTTCGCTTGTTGATTCATCTACTCAAGTTTGAAGATGTAAATGACGTCAGTCATATTGGGTTAGGAGGTAGAATATTGTAGCTTTAGTTAAGTTAAATGTTAAGTTTGTCCCTCTCCCTGAGGAAGAACTGTCTGTGTTGTTGTTCTCAGCATTATCTTGACAGCCAACCGCAACAAAGACACAAAGCTGGTGACATTTCTGCATAGACGCCTCTTTGACATACTCTTCAACGTTTCACACTAGATCATTGTGATGTTCATTGTTTTTGGGGGAATGCTCAGTCTTAGGTAAATGTAAAGCTGTGGTTATCTTTCCTTGAATGTTGCCCTCACCTCTGTTTCACTCTGCATGTTATTGCTCAGCTGTTCTCTGGGAAATTCTGCATTTCTCCTGTTATCTTACCCCGGGCCTCTGTTCTTGTTTTCTTGTCACATTCTGATGTTGAACACTTTCTGATTTCTCTTTCTCTGATGCTATTTTGTTCCAGCAAAGAAGGGCATAAAGCTAACTGTGAGAACTCAAAAGTCTTAAGCGATCAAAGGTAGTCTTTTTTATTTTTATCTTTTTTTCTCATTTTTTATTTGTAACAGAAGCAGCGATTTGAATAGCTAGATTTACTTTTCAGATCAGAGTAATAATAATAATGAATTGCATGTATATAGCTCTTATCCCTGCTCGACAGTAAGCTCTATGCGCTTTACACTATATTATTACCCCAGCAGACCATAAAGCACTCCGAAATATGCTCAGCTTTCAGGGAAGCATACAGTGCAAGCAGCTGATTAAACGCTTAAACACTAACAAACTGACAAGATCTTCCACTGTCTGTAGCCGGGTGCCCCTTCCCACCTGGGTGAAGTGAGGAAAATTCGTGCAAAGTGCCTTTCCCAAAGACACAACGTCAGATAATGACTGACACTGACAGCAGCTGGCCCCGCCCACAATGTACTAGATAGATCATGATAGACACTGACAGTAGCTGGCCCCGCCCACAATGTACTAGATAGATCATGACAGACACTGACAGTAGCTGGCCCCGCCCACAATGTACTAGATAGATCACGACAGACACTGACAGTAGCTGGCCCCGACCACAATGTACTAGATAAGATTGACAAGGAGCATCCCAAGGAGTCAATGTTTTGTTGTAACTGATTCGTTTGCAGTCAGGAAAACTAAGAGGCCACACACAGTGCAGTGATTTGATAGCAGAACAGTTTGAAAAATTGTTGTTTCAGAATTTTTTCATAGGTTGACATGTTCTTTTTTCTGAAATAATTTAAATGTGTAATGGATATCTATAGAATATTCTCATAAAGTATTTCGAACGTCTTTTAATTGAATAATTTTCTTCATTCAAAAAGGTTTGTTACAAGCCTTACCTTGTTCATGAGATCATAAGAGACGAAAATGTTCCTTCTGTGTTGTCATTTCGTCCTTAATTTGTTACAGAAAAGATGAACATAAAGTTATTGCCGACGACCCGAGAGTGTTAGATCTAAGCAAAGAAAGGTACTGTCTGAGCCATCCTGTTCAATTTGCAAAGATAGATTTATGTAAAAGTATCTGCTGAAACTTGCAAAAAATTAGCTATAAAGTTGGTTTTTTAACTGATTAGCCGTCTCAAATTAATAAATTTTTGTGATTTGTTCTTGTTAGACTCTTGGGACCTTTTTGCCTTATTTTCAATCCCAAAAAGCCAAGTGGAAAAACGGGATTGGTTGATTATGTCGTTCCAAGATTCTTCTACAGCGAGGAGAACATGGTCGACACTCAATCTGCAGAAGGTCCTAGCTATAACCTTCTGTGGGACATACGTGTCATTGTCTGCCATGCTTTAAATATTTCTTTTAGTTGTTCAAAAGCCTTAACCTTTGTGACATTTTAAGGGAACATTTACTACTGTCTTACAGTCTCCTCAAGTTGTTGGTTTTTAAAAATTTGTCAATAGAAATCTGTTAGGGTTTATAGCATGAATGCTGTGGTTCTCTTATCCCAAAATGAGAAGAATTCTGTCCCACTCAGCATGGTCTCACTGCCAACAGATCCTAATTGATGATCTGCCATTTTTCTTCCAGACAAGAGGAGCATAAACGTATCTCTGACTACTCAAAAGTTTTAAGCACTAGAAGGTATTTGTTTCTATTTTTATTTTGTTCCTCTTTTTTTTATTGCTTTACCAGATTCAACTGTTGTCATTTGAGGAGCTTTTTGCACAAGTATATAAGCTGGGATGTATTCTATCAGTGTTGTGGCTGTGCGAGTTTGTCCTTTGATGAGTGGACGTCATTCGGACACACTTCACAGGTCACAGCTCATTAGGGAGCGGCACATCTCACACCCCACACCTCACACCCCACACCGCACACCACACACCCCACACCTCACACCCCACACCCCACG